TGGCGTGCGTGTGGACACACATGCTCTGGACACTCCCAGGGTGATGCACGATCCCCTCGATGCTGGCTTCAATCCCAGCCCCTCTCCAAATCAGGGAAGCATGACTTTGCTCTTCACTAGACACTCTCACAAAGGTTCCAGTTCTCCTCCTGACGGAGATGGCATAAGATCTGCCACCTTGAAGGTGGGTATGGCCGTGTGATTTGCTTTAAATCTTTTGTGAGCAAAAATGCCGAATGACTTCTAGGCAGAAGCCAGTATGCCCTCCTCACTCCATGTGTGGCCCATTGACCAGCAGGGCAGACAACCTCGGGGAGGTTGACGGAAACACAGCATCTCAAGCCCTCCCAGACCTCCCGACTTAGAATTCCTCTTCACTCAGCTCCCACAGAACATTCATATGCATATTTAACTTTATGAAGTCCTGCCCCAGGAAGACAGCATTATTTGCCATATTCTTTTCCAGCAGTAACTGATGTTCCAGGTAGATAGAGGCTCTGTTAGCCCAAGCCCCTTGCTTGACCTGAGACAAACTAAGGATGAAAAGCATGAGAGGAATAAACCTTCGGTTGAAGGCACTAAAACTTGAGAATTGTTAGGATGCATAACCTCACCCATCCTGACACAATACATTCGTACTCCGTGACCCTGGGAGAGAAAGTTAATCTCCCTGTGTCTTGCTTCCCTTGATAGAAAATGAAGGTAACAGTTCCTACTCATAGGGCTGGTATGAGGATTAGTGAGGTACATCTGAGTAGGGCTTGGCACATCGGAAGTTCGGGGTAAATATTAGCTTCTATTACTGACACACTCCCTCTCCTCGCTCAAACCTTGCCTATGATGCAGAATCCCAGCCTCCTTATCTCAGTGACTGGGGAGTCGGAAGCTCTGTCCCTGTCCCTGTCCATACTCTACCCAGCCACACATCAAACGTGAAGATCCACCCTCCTCCGAAAGAAACAAGGCTGTTATTCCAGCTGGGCCCCAGCATCCGCTGCCTGTGTCTTCATATCACATTCCTGCCTGCTGCTCTAACCTAGATACGCTGTCTCCTCCCCGCTCACCAACCTTCCCACATCCCAGTTCCTAACCGTGTGATTTAGAATTTACACACAGTACTTGTCTATCATACATATTAAGGTTTTGTCCTGAACACAGAGCTAGAGGTTAAAAAGTTAGATGCCCAATGTTTTCTTTCTGTTTTTTCCCCTAGATCCAGTGTATGGGATTCTAGCATCAAAGGTGAGCAAACCTGCTGCAAAGAAAACTGAGGAAGGCACAGTGAGAAAAACAGTAGGGAGGTTTCTGTTTATGTTCTAGTTTTTAAAGGAGTCCAATACATTTCTGACACAATAGTAACTATAATGATGACAAGTCCTTGATGATACTTTCAATAAAATGTATCATTTATTCTAAAGCAAAACAAAACAAGTTACTTTTTCTCCTTGCCATGCTCTTAAAATGTATGTATCTCCAGCTAGAATATTTTACAGTCTTGCATCTCTCCTCCATATTTATAAACCAACTTTAAGAAAAAATCATGGTATGGAATCCAAGGTGCACAATGAGTCACACTGTGCAGTTGCAAAGTTACCAAATTTGATTAGAGCACCTTAGAGCCCCACCCTGATCACTGTACCTTCTCTAGGCCAGAGGGCAGCCAGCTTTCTTCAGGGCCAGACGCTACGCACTGTAGGTTTTGTGAGCTGCATGGTCGTCACCGCTCCTCTGCCATGGCAACCCAGAAACAAGCAGGCTCAGCCTTAATCCTGTATGATTTTATTTGTGAACAGTGAAATTTTATTTCCATCTAAGGTTCATGGGTCACTAAATATAGTTTTTTCCACCTATTTGGAAATGCAGAACATGTTTAGCACATAAGTACTATAAAAAGAGGTGCCAGGCTGGGTTTGGCCCATGGGCCATCCTTTGTGGGTTCCTGCCCTGGAGTCTCAAGGTCATGCTTTAACCTGGGGGGAAAATAATTTCTATGGCACTTCTGGAAACTTAAGAAAGGCTTTATTTGGGGGAAGATTGGGCTCAACCCCGAATACAAAAACAAGAGAGAGAGGGGAGACACCAAGGGTAGGCAAGTGCCTGGTCGGTCACCTCAGGGTTCGTGCTGAAGGCAGCAGGCCCAGGACCTGCACGTCAGAGGTGGGATGAGGAAATGCCCAATATCAAGGATGCGGGTTCTCTCTAAATTGAGTCAGCAGGAGTCCTGCTAAGTGGAGGCCCAGGAAGGAGCAGGCCCAGTGTGAGGCCTGGTCTAGAGGGATCCCAGCCTGATTAAAGTTTGGCCCAGGAGAGAGCCTTTTTCAAACTACACCAGACACAGCCTCCTTATGAGTCACAGACACATGGTGTGTAGTCCGATAAAAATCCACTTCAAAATCGGGTGAGAATTAATCACATGAGTCTGTTTCTGTTCGCTCGACTTGAAAATACATGGGATCCTAAAGATGTCGAACTTTCACTGCAACTTATGCCATTATTACCCATAAAAATAACGTGGCCCATCACTGGTTTCTTCACTGCACACAATTAGCAATTTATGAAGTAAGGAAATAGTTGGCAGTTGTCTTCATAGATGAAGTCAATGCAGTCTCGCTCCTTTGCCAAAAGGCAGGGAAACCGATTGCTGATGTCTCTTTTTCCTGAGGCTACTCAAGGCCAGTCCACTCGGAATGACTAGGAAGACAAGCTTTGGCTTCACGAGGGATTTTTAACAGGAAACCTATACTACTTTAAAAAAATAATAAAGCGATTTAAAAAAAAAAAAGAGCCTTAGCTTTTGCTATTTTTACTGATACTCAAGTAGCAGTGCTTAAAACATTTTAAGTCTAGATGTCTCTATGGAAACCCAAGAAAATTTGTATTTTATGGCCTCAAGTTCTATCTCCTATTGGATCACCATAGGCCATCTATGGTGTCAGAAATATCTTCCATCTATTTTTCTGAAATCCTACCAGTTATAATGAGATTTATAAAATGATTGCTTGTGCTGAGGAGAAAGACAAGAACTTATTCCTGGGGGTTCCTTCTAATTTTTATTAAGACAGTGCTGTTTAAAACATTCTTTTGTGAATTTTGGCATAGTAAAAGGGGGAAATGTCTGGTTTTAAATTTATATCATTAATTTTCTTTCCCTCCTTTTCATCAGTGTCAGATATATTTTCTATGAAAAAATGTAAAAGAAATGAACAGTTCTGCTGCCCACAGACAATTTATTGCAATGGAGAAAGAAAAAAAGTAACTGTATGGTGAATCAAGCTGACATCTTGACCAGGTGACCGCAATTAACATCCTCTGTACAGTCAGATGGCCTGTGTGTGAATCCAGGTGTGACAGTCTGAGGGGGGCACGAGGCCACCTAGTAGGCACAGCCTGAGCCTAATCACGAGGAAACACCAAGTAAGGTCAAAGCTGGGACTATTCTATTATTTAGAAGAAGAGCATGACAAAGTAGTAGAAACAAAAAAGCATGGTGGCAGCTGAGCCAGAATGATAGTTATTAAAAAATGTCGGTGTGTTGAGGGTGTAGCGGTTCAGCAATAGGGCACATGATTGGTACGGCTGAGGCCCTGGGTTCAATCCCCAGCACTGCAATCAAGCAATCAATCAATCAAAGACAAAGAAACGTTATGAAAATTTTCTAGATTAAAAGCAGCTAAAGATGCAAGGTAATTCAGTGCAACACCTCACACTAGGATGAATCTGATACTCTATGGAGGTGAAGGAAATTCTCTAAAGGGCGTAATGGTTCCAAGTGACAAAACTGGAGTATCAATGGTAGACTAAAGTATACCAATATAAGATTTACTAAAATCACTAACTATACAGTGATTATGAAAGAGAGTATCCTATGCTTATCAAATATCAAAGTTCTTCAGGGTAAAGGGCCTCGATGCATGATGTATATAACTTCCCAAATGAAAACTTTAAAGAAAAATTAACAGATCTTGCCTACACTGGAGTTCTTGGCTATTTCTCTCCATAATATTCCAAATACAACACAGGAAGAGGGGCTTGGGCCAAATAACAAAGAAAGTACAAAGATATTTTAACACAATCCTTTATCAGTGATTGAAGCTTGCCAAATTGTGACACACCACCCATGCTGAGCAAAAATAAGCCAACAGTGGCTACTTAGCAGCTTAGATGTAATTATTTCTCCCTAATTTCTCTCAACAGGGCAGTGATTCTAAAACTTTTTGTATCCCACAACTTTCAGAACTCTCCTATACAAAGCAAGACTCTTAGCTGGTTTCTTTGAGCTGGGACATCTTTATATTTTAAGTTGGCAAATGTTAAAGCTGGATCACCTCATCATAGATCTGCAATTCCTGTGAAAACTGGGGCCCAAATTCTGCACTTAACGTTTCTGAGGCCCACAATGGCCCTGCAGCTGGAGGTGTTGGCCTCTAATCTTCAAGATATCATCTAATCTGGCCCCACACACACACAAAGGGATGGAAGGAGCTATGCCTATGACCAAAAATTTAGTATAGACTTTCCTGTAAGTCAGACACTGGAGAGAAAAATTTAAAATGTGATAAACCAAGATTAAGCTGTTCAGCCCTGCTTAGGAATCAGGAAACACTGCTTACTCATTTTCCAAAACACAGCAAAGGTGGGCATATGTCTATTGCAAGGTCTTTTCTGTCCTTCCTCGTTTCTTGCTTTGATTCTTTTAGTAGTGACTGCTTCTGGGATAAAATACTCATATATTACTTTTAGCTCTGTGTTTTTATCTTAGTCTCTTTTTTCATTTTCCCCAAAATTTCAACCAATAATTTTATTTGACAAACGTTTACCAAGAATCCGCTGGCACACAATGCTCAGAGTTACTGAGTGTACTCTACTGAGGACCCAGTAGTTTACCCTCCAGAGAATCCCCAGGAAAGTGATATGAAGACAATAAATGCAGAGAAGTCAGCTTGCAGAAAAGCTTTACACCCAGAGTGAATTATAACCAACTGCAAGAAAGAATAAACAAGTCAAGGCACTAAAATTTAATGAGAAGACAATTTTTAAAACAGAAAAAACTGGAGACAAGGTGCATGCAACATTACTGTAGATTTAAAATCATGCATATTCTTCTCCATAAAACTTTGCAAATGCAGTTAGAACATACGCTTACAAAACCTAGCAATTATAAATCCTCTGAACCATGTAACTGTGATTAGCTGCTACTCTCAGCAATATAAAAATACTTCCACCACAATTACATTCCAGCCTGTAATTCAAAACAAACAAGTCAGAGACATCGTTCAAATGGCAGAATCAACAAATACAGATGCTTTGCATCAAGGAAACGAATCCACTGAAGAAAAGCAACTGAGAGAAGACTGCTCTCTGCCTGCCAGGGCCTGGCCTGGGCTTCTGGTGGAACAGCGAGGCCCCCTTCTGGGCAAGGACGCACAGTGCAGCTCTGCACAGTGGCCCTTTGCACGGTGACCCCTACTGCAATCAGCGCTGGCTGCGACATCAGAAACTTGGGCTGTGGATACTTTCTCCTATGTTGTATTCACAGTTTCAAATTTTAGATATTAAATGTAAACCTCACTATCCATATTTTTAGGTAAATATTTGATTTCAGATCACACTGATCATCCTATTCTGCCAATGAGCATTCCTACCACCCACTGGCACGCCCATCTCCTTCACCCCGGGCCCCCTTTTTCTTTGTTTGTTTGGGGGGGTTTTTTTGGTACCTGGGATCCAACTTGGGTCCTTGTGCTTGCGCAGCAGGTGGCGAAACCACTGAGCTAAATCCCCGGCCCCCCCTTTTTCTTTTAGCTATAACTCTCAGCACTCTCCAGCAAACTGCATAATCCACTATACCCATCATCTGTCTCCATGGCTGGGATACAAGCTCCATGGGGACAGGCAGGCTTCTTCACTTTGTTCCAGGAAACGAAAGGACCCTGGCACAAAATAATTGCTCAATAATAAGGAATTGTCCCATTTATTCCTTTATCTTTTTAAGACTGCTTGTTCCTCTTCAAAGAAGGCATAAATAGGGCTTTATTATACCAATATGTGACAATTAAAAAATGACTTGTAAGCACTTGTTTTGAAAGTATTCATTTTCTTAAATGCTTTGTAAAAGCAAAAGATCTGTGTTAAGGACCATGTAATCATGGTCATATATACACAAACTCAGACAATTTAGAAAGAAGCCAGGCCCCGGTGCCCTGAGGGAAATAAGAGCTGTAAAACCTGAGGCTCCAACTCTGGAAGGCCAGCCCCAGAGAACACGTCTCACACCCTGTCCAGACACACACAGTGATGGATGCGGACACACTGCCTGCGAGCCAGCACTTCCCTGGACCGGGCATAAAGCTGTGGCTGAAGGGCATGCACTGTTTCTAATTTCTGAAACCTCAAACCTTAACTTTTCCCCTTCTGAAAATGTGCTTTCAGCTCGGGGGAAAAGCTAATAGTTGTTTACAATTGTCAGACTTTTAAGAAGTGCTAATTTGTTCCCTTAACAGAGCAAATGATGAGAGACACCATTTACCCACAGGGTAACAACATGTAAACATATGATTCATTGATGTCAACAGCTTTCGGCCCAGGAATTTTGTCCGGGTCACTGTGAGGCATTGGTCTTTCATCAGACAAGTTCAGGATTTCTGACATTCCTTTTTCCGAACTTTTGATTTCGGTGCTGTGAAAAAGAAAAAGGAAAAATGAAGATGGAGGCTCATGTCAGTTTCTCCTCATACTGACATGAGCCAAGGGAGGTTCGTTATATGCAGTAGGGGCATACTGACCATTTGGATTCTCCTGTTTGTAGAAGGTCTTTAACAGTTCCACAGCTTCCTCAGCCCGATATCCAGGAATGCACTGATGAAATGAGAAAGGGGAGAATGAACGAAGGCCTGTGAAAATGTATGCCGAAGCCCACAAACACAGTGATACGAATCTAACTATGTAAGTAGATTTCAGATCATGGTAATTGCTTTGGGGATATTAGCGCAGATAAAGTACACTTCCAAAAGAGCAGACATTCAGCCTCAGGGAAACAACACCATTAATCAACTATTACTGAAGCGTCGGCTGATTAATCTTGGGCCAGGTCCATAAACGCTCTACACCTTGTAGTACAGTGTAGTACTTAACTTCAGGGACAATGTGAGGACTAAATAAAATAATACCTATCACATGGCTGGCACGTCATAGGTGCTAATAAACACTGCCTATTTTATCTGCTGTTCTTTACTGGTGGCCCATTAAGTGTTTGAAGCAACACAGCAGGGTTGCCAAACTATACCTGACAGAGCAAATCCACTCCATTGCGAAGAGGAGTGAGCTAAGAGTGGCTTTTATGTTTTTAAAGGGTTAAAAAAGACTGTAAGACACTGAGATAAGTGGCTCACAAAGGCTAAAATAATGGCTAGCCCTTTACCAAAAAAATCTTGTCCATTCTTGGTATTAAGGACTTTTTAAAAAGTGTCCAGTTAGTTCTGTATCTGGAATCCAACTGGAGAGAACAGAGCAAAACCTATGAAAAAATAAGTAAGCAATGGCGCTATCAGGAAGGAATGATATTGCGAGACATACTACACGGAGAAGATGCAAGCTGGACGTAGAGAACATTTACAGAGACCAAGCAGTGTTTCAGGGAAGGAGAGCGTAGGCTGTGCGGGAAGAAACCGGCTGACGGGGTGGCGGAGCTGGAGGATGAATATTAAGGGAGCCTGAAGAAAGAATGAAAGAGATGGGATCAGGAGTCTGACACAACACGCCCTTCTGAGGAGAGTGAAATGATGTATCCGTCCTTGATGCCAGGTATAAGGGAGGAAGGGCTGGTTGACTCCCACGGAGACTGGAGGCCCAGTCACTCCAGGGCACCATCTGTCTGCTCGTGCCTGGGCGATGTGAAGCCTTCACAACTTTCCCAATTGTAACAGTAACCCTTCTTTCCCTCTGGCCCCTGCAAGACTCCACTTTTGTTCTCATTTCCTCGCTGTCACAGTCTCAAGACTCCTCTGAAGCTGCCCTCGGTGGTAACCTAAAGACCCCTACTGACTAAAACACTGGTCTTCCCACCACCTCTACTCTCCACAGCCCTGTAGCCAGCCTCGCCGGCTGGCTCAGAACTCTCTCCCCCCCACAGCTTCTCACTGCCTCATCGCTCGGGGTCAGTCCCCTTGCTGCTGCTGTGGGTCTGCAGTGGTGGCCCCACGGCTCCCCCTTTGCTCCAGTGAGCCTCCACATGCACACACGAAGCCCTCTCCTCCTACGTGCAGTCAGAGCAATGGCTCTCCACCTTGGCTGCCCTGGAGAATCACTCGGGAGCTCCCTACAAACAGCCATGCTCCTCCAGTGCCTTCCCGTTCAATGGCCTAGGGCAGAGGCTGGGCACCTGGAAGCACTAAAGTTCTAATACACAGTCAGGGAGAAGACCGCTGAGCTACAAGTGCAGAAGGAAACTGTTCTACGCTAAAACACCAAGATAATATTTTCATGTATCCTTTATAGCTAGTTTCAGTTTTAATAAAAAGCACACATTCTTAATAAAATAAAAAAGTTTTAACCAAAGCAGAAATTATAAATGAAACACCATCTTCTTTGACAAGAAAATGGTTACAGGGCTCCGCTAGGAACTTTCATGCTGCTTATAATATAGTATTAAAAGAATCTCTAATTCTAGAATAAGAAAAGACACCTCAGCTTCCTATTGTTTCCTATCCTCTGAACACAGACAAAGGAAGAAAATACAGAATCTAGAAGTCTGTGATTTTTTTAGAATCATAAAATACCCTTAAAAACGTAATTTGGCAGCAAACCTAGCGCTATGGCTTGAAGCCACAGCGTTCACTTTCCACTGAGCCGATGATGTGTGTGGTGTAAAGTGCCAGGGAATGTTGGTTTTGGTTCAGCCAGGTCTGCTCTATGCAGAGGTCTGAGAAAGGACTCCATTTGTGCCTTCACATCACCCATGTTTCAGAGAAATGTTCTACCCATGTCTGACATCCAAGGGCTCACCTTTGTTCTGGCCAGAAACTGAGAAATTCTTTAGATCATTTTCATAAGCGAAGTCTTGTATGGACTCAGCAATTCATTTGCAAAGAGTTATGTAAACAAAGTTTGAGCTACTCCTACCAGTGGGAAAATCAAATCACTTTGCAGTTGTATGTCATGATCAAGCTAATTACATCATTAACTCTCTATCATTCCACTGTGATTTCTGGCTGATGTGATTGATGTTAAAGCATCTATTCTTATATGTAAACCATGTGCTAGGAAAGCCAATGTTTAGAGAACATTCAAGACAGAACATTTTATAAAACATGTTCTCAATGGGATTGAACTAAATTTAGCCTTTCATAAGTCCTTATCATAGTCTAATAAATAGCTGGGTCCATGAGGTCCAGCATTTGTTAAATTCTTTTCTTCTTAGAGTTATAATACTTTGGGGTTAACCTTCCTTTTTGGAGAGAAAAACTGAACCAGTGTAGAAAAACTGCACATCCTAAACCAAACTTTGACATACAGATTCCCAATGCTTATACTCTTCATCATAAAATCTTTGAAGATGTGTAAATGTAAAAGGAATGTGGAATTTCGAAGAGTTGAAGACGTGTGGAATCCCTGGGTAGGGGGAAATCTCAACGTTCAAAAGGCAGATAAAAAATAATAAAAATAAAAATAATAAAATACCACTAATAAGGTATATGGTAGCCTAGTGAAATTATTTAATTTGTTCAAAAATACTGTGCTCACTGAAAGTAGCATCTACGGTCACTGACATGGGCCAGGCCTCTCCAAGCTTGGTACACCACAGAATGACAGGAACGCTGCTGAAGACTGTTAGAAGTTAGGGGGAGGGCAGGGACTCTCCTGCAGGAGAGATTTTGTCAATGAAGAGCGAGACCACCCATCTAGAAACTCTTACCTGTTGTCTTCCACTAAGCTATAAGAAACTCAATCTGGGGTCCTGGGACCATGTCAGATTCTGTGACAGCTTCTTGGAATATGGATCACACACTGTCCACCAGCCCAGTGAGATGAAAGTCATCAGAAAGAAAAAGTGTAAGCAGATCGTACTACCTGAAACGGTCTCCCAGAATTCGGTAAGTCAGCAGAAGCGACATCTAGGACAGAGCCACAGCCACCGAACCGTTCATTCTGACAGCCATAAACAACCAGCGGGATTTATAAGACAGAATTAAGGTCCTGTAGGATACGCAGCACTGTGGCAAAATCGGCATGGGTTGATACAAGCCCTCCTGGAGAGGAAAGCTCAGACTATGCTTCAAAGCGAAGTTTGGGATTAGTCTTTAAAATCATACAATCCAGTTACACAACAGAAAGGTTTAAAGCATTTCGAAATTAACCCGTAACTGCAAACAGAACGAAAATTGAGTGCATAGTTGCTTAATGTTCTCAGTGTAGTACGTGCTCTGCTCGTGCCTACATCACAGTGTAGTTAATGTTCATAGTGTAATGTGAACATTAATGTTCATTAATGCTTAATGTTAACAGTGTAATGTTCACAGTGTAGTACGCCCTCTGCTTGTTCCTACACCACCTTTCAGAATCAGTAGAGAATGGGAGCCAGACAGGAAGAATGTAATCCAGGGATCTTCAATTTTTAAAAATAACAGATTGCTCCCCGTTCCCAGCCTACATAGAATTTAACCCCTGCTCCAATACGAAACAGAATAAAGCTAAGGAAACACAAAAGGCAACATGAGAAGGTTCTAAGTTGCCAAAAACTCTTCTTTTATGAGTGTATACTTCATTGTACTCAAAAACCTCTGTTATTTTTAAAGTGATCAAATTATTTGCATATAGTTTTAACTGTACATTAAAATACAAGTATGAAATGGAGTTTTTGAGTTTTCAAAAAATCTTTATAGAGCACCCAGTGTTTATGTTGCTTATTCTTTGTTAAGACACAATGCAAAGAGCTATAACTATTAATTTACCACTTTTTTATACAATTATGGTACTATAAACAATATCTTTGACTTACTTACTTTTTACTTAATTTTTTAATATTTTGAGATAGGTATGCATAGCAAAAACAAGTAACAGCTAAACACTGAAAATTTTAAATTACCCATAATCCATCATCCAAAGGCAGAATTTAGGCACATATTCTCCTGTAATCCACTTTCACTTAATTTATGATTTGCTCTTATATAGCAGTTTAAATTAGTTTGAAGAGGTTTTTTTCCCTAGCTTATTTAACAATTCTGTTTATTGACATAAAAAGAAACAGGAAATGTTACGTAAAATCTTTCCTTTCTGGTCAAGATATATTCTGCAATGAGTTTCCTAAGTTTGTGTTTTCATATATTAGAAAACTGCTGGGCTGTAGTTCGATGGTGAAAAGTATACTAAGTACCTGTGGCAAGTACCATGCCCTGGGTTCAGTACTATGGCCAAAAAAAGAAAAGAAAATATGTTATGCGTCTGGCCAGTTTCTTATTCAGAGGAAAGGTACAAGGCTTGAACTTACAAAGTCAAAGGATACTCATCAGGCGGAGAGCAGCTGCGCACATGATGCATGGCTCCACAGTGACATACAGCACAGTGTGTTCAAAGACTGAAGAAGGACTCTGGCCATTTTGGTGACACCAGTCGAGGACCTGATCAATCGCCACCATTTCTGCATGTCGAGTAGCCTTCAAAGAAAGATGCTTGCACTGATCATTTGCCTCATATAACTGACATTTTACAAATACACAAACAAATATAAAAAGACATGTCTATTGCTTCTGCCAACATTTTAATGAATGAGGTTTCAGGAGACCCTCAGCAGTTGACAGGCTATTCCCCAGTTCAAGTATCATAATCTCACCCACAGAAGATATCCACTCCCAGATGCTGTATAAATCCTGCTGTATTTTTAGTTATATTCCTAAGGAGCTTAGGGGAAACTTTCAATTAAAATACCACAGCTAGGCGTGGTGGCACACTGAAATCCCAGCACTCAGGAGGCTGAGGTTGGAGGATTGCCGAGAGTTCAAGGCCAGCCTGGGCTAAATAGTGAGTTCAAGGCTGGCCTGAATTACATAGCAAGACCTTGTCCCAAAAAAAGAAAAGAAAAGAAAATCAATTAAAATACCACAGAGAAGATAAGAAAAAAGATAATTAGGATTTCTGAATATTTTAGGGGAAGCTTGAAATTTTCATAAGCTTGTATCTAGTTTCAAATATATTTTCAAGGCTGTCACTGACCTCACTCTAACTATATTTAGTTTGCTGGGGGATGAAATTTTTATATGCTGGCAAACTGTAGAGAAGCAGAGACTTGGTATATTAGTCTCTGATACCTCATGGGAATCAGTATTCCATAGGAGAAATCACACAGCATGTGAAATCAACCACATTTAAATCTGAATCCTGACAGGGACAATGCTAATTATGGAGTGCTGGGCAAATTATCTACGTCTTGTTTTCCCGTATGAAAATGAGGTGTCCTGGGATCTACCCCTCTACACCTTAAGGCAAATGGAATTACACGAAGCACAGTGCTGCATGGTGCTATGTACGTACTCTGCTACCTCTTCCCTGCCGCCTCCTGTTAAAATAGCTTACTGTGAGTCATAGTTCCTCTATGCAACAACTACTTACAATATCCATTACAGTAGCATTTATCAATAATTTAAAGAGTGCTAATTATGTATGAGTCATTGTACTAAATAAATTCTGGGTAGGATAAAAAGTTTCTGCCCTCAACAAGCAAAGAAAGAAAAAAAAACCCAAACAACTGGTGGAGCCAACAGAGAGGTGCTTGTTTTCTAACTGTTACGGTTTAGAGCTAAAACTTCCCCCAAAAGTCTCAGATGTTTGGATCATGGGGTGCTATCTTCATCAGTGGGTTCAAAGTTCAGGAACTAAATGTGCTGCAAGGAGGCGGGGCCTGGTTGGAAGAGACAGGTCCCTGTGGGCCTGACCTGGAAAGGTGGATTCTTGTCCTCAGCTCCCCTTCTTTCCTGCTTCCTGATGGCCAAGGGTGGAAGCGCTTTCCTCCACCAGGCTCTTCCACACCATTTCTGCCTTGGAGCCTGCTGACCATGGGCCAAAACTGAGCTGAAAGAAAGCTCACCTCCTTTAAGCTGTGGGTGTTGGGTATTTTGTCACAGGAAGGCAAAGTGATTAATTCACTTACCACCTAGGGCATGATGGAAAAGTGTTAGCATGGTGGCCCAAGGTGCCAAGGAAGCCAGGTAGGAGCAGAGCTGGCCGGGGTGGGGTGGGGGGATGTTTAGGTAAAATCACACTCAGAAACTGAGAGGAGGCATCAGAGAAGGGGTTCCAGTCCTGGCTGCATCCTGAAACCCACAGGAGAGCTTAAACTTTCCCTATGCTGAGTGCCTTTTAAAGCTCAGGTTCGGAATTCCTGAATCGTGTCTCCACGTAGCTCTCAATAAATAAACTGCTGAACTGTATCACCTCGGTCAACTCCCTCGTTTCCTGCTAAAGAGCAGCTATGCTACCAAAAAATTATTCACTACAGTTGTATGGCTTCATTACATTTTGCTATTTTCCCCATCTTTAAAAAATTACTGTAGCACTGTCACAATCAGAACAAAACAGCATTAAAACAGAGATGTGAAAGGACCCTCGTGGGGCCACATTCCGCCTCATCTTCCTGCTAACTTCCCTCAGTACTCTGTTCCTGCCGCCTCAGTGTGTTTGCCATCATGCGGCTCAACTCCCATACATTTTTCGTTTGATTCACTTCATTTCTTCCCTTCCCCACGACTTCATTGTTGTAAACCATAAGGCAGCCAACAGGAACTTCGGTATTTTTGAGGGCATCTTTGGCCTGAAATAAAAAGTGGAAAATCTGAGATGTAGCGGTACTTGAAAAGGCCACACAAAGAAACAGATGCGGAACAGGCAGGATGTACACAAGAATCAGGAGCCAAGATTCTCCCTTTTCTCAAATCTAATTCCATTATGGTACTCAGCGTCTGTGTTCTCCATGGTGTACCCATGTGAGGAAGAACTCTGGAATACAGTACCTTCCTAGGTCTCGAGCCTCTGATGATTTCTTCTTCTCACTGGGAGCAGATGTGATCAAAGGACTATCGCAGATCTGTATTATTATTTTTTTTTTTTGGTGCCAGGGATCAAACTCGGGACCTTGAGCTTACAAGGTAGGCAGAGGAACCACTGAGCTAAATCCCTGGCCCTTCTTTCACTTGTTAAAATTCTACTTTCTTAATTTTTTTCTTCTTTAAAATTATAGAAGTGATCTCCTAGAGTCCCAGTAGCACACAGGTGACCAGACTGGATGTCATTTTGTCTCATGATTTCTAATCAAAGTGAGACAATAAAAGTTATGGCAAAACTACTTTGAAAAACGTTTTGGAAGTTTCTTTACAAAGTAAATACACATATACTCCATGATCCACAGGTGCACAGAACCACAAGCACATACACACAAGTGCACAAAAGGTGCTGAAATTTTAATAAGCTCTGCAGAGTGTACCAATGCAACTCTCCTGGCTTTGATACTGTACTACCACCAAAGGAAACTGTATACTTGCATCCTCGTATACTATTTTTTTGCAACTCCCCATGAATTTATAATCGTTATAAAACAGAAAGTTAATAAGTATAAATGATAGAAAATAAGAAAGATCTTGCAGCAGAGATGAAGAAGAAATGTTAGGTCACGCATCATGGTGGTGCACACCTGTAATAACAGCACTCTGGGAGGCGGAGACGGGAGGATTACAAGCGAGAGCCCAGCCTGAGCAAGTTAGCAAGATCCTGTCTCCACCTTCAGAAAATAAAGTAAAGTAAAAGGGCTGGAGATATAGCTCAGTGTGAAGTCCCTGAGCTCAACCCCAAGTATCACCCCAAAATAAATATAAATAAATGCATGCAAGCCTACAGAGGGAGAGGAAAACCAGGCATGTCCGGTTTCCTGGCAGACCCCAGAAGAAGCCTGGCCAAGCTGGGTGGGGCGGGAGTCATCGGTGCTGAATGCAATGGCACAGAGGTGACTTGTGTGGGAATGGTGGAAAGGAGAAGCGGGGCCTTTAAGTGACTCCTCTACGGGTTACATTTTTAGCTTCCAGAAATACTTCTCCCCCGCAAATGTTTAAGACCCGATACCATGTCTACGCCTCAAGTATTCTGATTCTGAGAGCTTGAGAATACATGAGGCATGATCGAAAAATACAGTGTATGTCTAAACAAAAAAAACTTAACAGTGAGACATATTGCTATTAATCCCCCTCCAGATACTCCACTCACTTGGGACACACTTATCTCATCATTCTTGGTTCAAAGCAGATTTAAAGAAAATGGAAATCCATTTCACTCAATCCTGTCTCATATTTCTCAACACTCTTCCTACCTCTTCCGCGAAGCGTGATGTTCTCTTTATGAATGCAAAGGAGCTCAAGCAAAATGGCCTGAGAGATGTGCGGTAGCTTTCATTAATACTCCCTGCCCTTTATGGAAGAGGCCAAGCTCGGTCATTATTTAAAATGGTTACTTGGTCTTATAAAATTAACAGATTATCAGCTTTCAAAATGGAACTGCTACCGAAATCTCTCTTCCTTGCAGCCCAAACACTGGTCTCCATCTTCTCATTAAATGTAATTTGGTTTTTCCTCTAGGCAGGTCTCACCCAGTTGCAGATAATGAAAGCTCCTGTAAGGAAGCGCAGCAGATTTTTTCCTATTTTCTGTAAAGTTAATAGCATTACAAACTACTCCCCAGTGATGTGGTGAAAATGGATGAGGGGCAGAAGATTACAGTTCACAGACCTTTGCTGGGTTCCCAAAGAAAAATTTCCAAAGTAGGACAAAAAATGAGGGAAAAAAACAAGTTAGCCAGAAGATCTCTTAGGTAGACTATCATAACATATAAAAGGTTAAACTGTTCTACAACTGCTACTACAAATTACACCCTGATGCTCTCTTTTCCTCTGCCAACTTTCAATTCCTCCATATGGTGCTGAAGGCCTCCCAACTACCAGTCTCCCTGCAGACCAGCCTCCGACACGCTTGACGTTATTCTTCTAGGTCTGTGGTTATCATCCTTTCCAGAAGCAAAATCCTGTTTGAGAATCTGATGACAGTTATAGGCTCTTACCTGAAAAAAGCACATATAGGAGGCGTGATCAAAAATTACAGTGAGCGCTCACTTCTTAAAAATGAATTTATGATGGTGAATTTATGACATACTGCCATTAATGCCTTCAGAATACTCCGTGTTGCTTTGAACACATTTTCCCCATTATTCTTGGCACTTTCTGAAGCAGATCTGAAAGTTTACCTTTTGTCTCTTTAGTTGCACAATTGTGGGTGCCTGGATCAATTCAAAACAATTACCTCTCATTCAAAACATGGTCGTTTTGACTTGGGGAAGAACTGGAAGTCACACAGTGCCAGATCGGGTGAATAAAGTGGATGAGGACAACCATAACGTTTTCACGAGGCCAAATTTCTGCTGGATGGCACTTGGCAGCAGCATTTGCAGTACTTTTTATCATGCCTCATACAGACACTCAGGAAAGAGGACGTCCAGAACTGCTTCACAAAGGGGCAAGAACGATGGGATAAGTGTGTTTGATGGAGGAGAGGGATTCTGAGGGTGATCAATGCCAATGTGTCTTTTACTGTAATAATATTTTAAGTTTAAACACTCACTGTAAATTTAGATCACACCTCATACATAAAATTTTATAAATAGTTTCAAGTTTCACAGACTCATCCTAAAACCTGAGCCCCGGGTTAGGAAGCTCTAAGTAGGAAGCTCTGTTCTAGTAGACAAAGTTTCTCATCTCTTCATACCTGACAGTTCCCCTGATCAACCTTTCCAGCAACTTACATTGCTTTTGTCCCTTAAAATGCAGAACTTCCATCATTTCTCTGAACCAACTTGCTCAGAACCTTGTCAGCTACTACTATACGGCAGTGCTTTATGTCTGTCTCTATGTTGGGCCCTGGACGTGTCACTTATCAACTTTCATTTATGGCTTGATCCTAGAACGTGACCACTAGTCTGTGCCTGAGCACCAAGCACAAGGCCGGATACACAGAGAACACTCGATCATCCCACATTTGTCAAAACAGATGATGCTTTCTCTTTGCACTCCCCACAGGTCTAGCACAGTATTATACTAAATGTCTAGAAAATGCATACTTCAGTAAACACAATTTATTCTGGAAAGCTTGCAGCTTTTTTCCTTCTGTGTATATCTATAGCCAATCTTTCTTTTTTCCCAAGCATAAAGTAAGATATGTTCAAAGTAGAAAACTTGAGAGTAAAAAATCCACACATCAAAAATAAAAATCAATGGGCCTGGGATTTAGCTCAGTGGTTTCGCTGCTTGCTGTGCAAGCACAAGGACCCAAGTTTGATCCCCGGTACCAAAAATAAAAAATAAAAAAATAAAAATCACTCATAATGTCAATACCCCAAAATATTCATCACTATTACTATTATTAAGCAACAGAAGTCATCCAGTGTTTTTCCTATGCCTGCACAGATGTATTTGCAGGGTTATTTTTTAGAGAAGCAGATTTACGTTACATATATAATGCAGCAGTCTGCCCTTTTCATTCAGAAATGTATTGTAAATATTTCACTTAGCTGGGTAATCATTTTTCATCTCATGATCTTTTAAAGGTTGCAGAGCATTCCTCTTGTTGAATACATCACACTTACTAAACTAATCCCCAACTGTTTGACAGTTACATTGATTCAAATTCTATACTTCTAGTAAACAAGTGAAGAACACCCTGTATAGTGTATCTATTGCTTCCTTGTGAATTATTTCCGGAAATAGTGATAAAACACAAATAGCCCCTACAATGATTTTTAAAAAATAAAGTTAATAATAAATAAAATTGATCAATGAATATGTCTGGGCAGTTTCTAGAAGGAAAAAACCTAAATGTCCAATCAGGATCCTCCATACATAGTCAGGGTAATGAAATCGAGGCACAAGGAGAGTGCAGCACTTGGACACCCGTGAGCGTGCGACAGGGAGATGGCCACAGGCCAGGCTCACGTCACGGCTTCATCTTAACAGCCCGGTAACTGCGGAGATCACAAACTGTCCCAGCCTCCGCGTCCGCACTGGAAGATACGGACAACAATCCCCACGTCGCAGGGCTGCTGTGAGGCTCCAGAGACACGGCCCCGTGAAACACTGTGCACAGCACCGTGTCTGGAACGTAACAACAGGACAACGCTGTTCCTTGCTCCCGTGCTTTTTGCCAACCTTGTTCCCTTAGAATGCTATGCTAAGCGCACACGATATGATGGTTAAAACCACAGCCTTTCTTAAATGCTCAGCTCTCCAAAAGAAAACTGTTGTGAAAGAGAATGATTTTATTAAAGTAATAAAGTTGACGGAATTAAGGTTTGGTAACTTTACTAAAGAACAACAAAAGTAACAGGGATGCTGCTTTTCATTTATCACACTGCCAAACATTAAAGAGTGATAATTCTAAGGCTGGGGATGTAGCTCAATGGCACTGCACCTGTTTTGCAAGCACAAGGTCCTGAGTTCAATCCCTGGTACGGGGGGAGTGATAATTCTGGGTTAGGGGAGAAGAGGAACCGGACAATTTCACAACCTGGTAATGGAATCGTGACCATTGCTAACAGTGGTGTCCAATAGAAGATTAAAAAAAAATTTTTTTTATTAGTGCATGTTTGCAGTACATAATGATTACATTCATGGGGGAAGACGGCACATGTACAGAACACACTTTAACTCTTTTTTCAAACTTCCCTCCCCCTCCATCTCTTTTGCAAGTTTAGATCTTCCCTAACAGAAGCTTTTGTCACAAC